TGTTTTGTGGTAGGTGTGAAGATGATGTATTCTGTGGACTAATTCTTGCATTTTAACTTTAATATAAAGCAATGGTTAACTTTGAAAATTATTCGACGAATTGCCTAAGTTCCTGATTACGGGTTTGTGATGTCACTCAGTCATTATTATTTACTTTGGCATTTGTATATATTCTAATATCTTTAATTTCCCTTTTATCCCGCAAGAAATGTACTACATTTAACAAATTGAGACCATTTTCAAATTACTATATATTTATTATCATTCATATTTTCACCTTTTCATCTGTAGTTGATACAATTCCAAGTTTTCTAATTTTAAATGTAAACATGTTTTACATATCGGTGCATGCATGCTAGACCATGCTTTTACCCATATGACCTGGGTTGATGGGAATTTTTCAGAGTTTTTTTTAAAAGTTTGTAAACAGTCGCAGACATATGCACCTGGTGATGTTTTTAGTACTGTAATGGGGTCTTTTGGAAAATGTGCCCCTACATTCACCAAAAGGGAAAACATCAAGGATGAATAAAGAGAAAGAAAAAGGGATTGTGGAGAGGCAACAAGTTACCACTCCCACTCCTCTTCATAACTGCCTTGCTCCTTCGCTTTTAATCGCCTAGCTTAAAAGCCCACCCCAATATACAGATTAGAAACTATAGCTGTGCTGCATGATCATTTAAATACTTGAGCTACCGGGGCTGATCAGGGGAACTAGCAGGGTGCAATCGGGCTCCGTATACATGGTCAGCTCGGGATCGTCGGTTTATGTCGGGCCTGTATCGGCTCCCGACATAGCAACATTACAAAAAATGATCGATGTGTTGTGATTCTGTGTCGGTTTTTTCGGTGTGACATCAACATCTTGATATTCAATTAATATGATATGGTTATGTTAACTCTTGTTCGTTCGTTCGTGTCTCCTTAGATCAAGATTAATGTAATCTTGATCTTCGGACTAGTTGCTACAACCGGCCGTGTCAGACACGTTGCCCCGGGGTGCGAGATAGGACTCTTGTAGCGTGCCCCCATTTAAAACAATTATACAATAACAGTTAACATTACTTTTAATTAATAGTATGAAACTATTAAAATTACTCTCATGTTACGGGAAAAAAATATTGCATATATATATTATGACTCAATTGATTTGGTCGATCCAGTTCGATGGCAGAAACACGTACGGCACTACTGGACAGAGATCCTAATAATAATTAACTCTTGTAAAACAATGCAACCATGTGTATTGCATTCTATTCTTAAACCAAAGCATTACTGAATGACAGGGTTCTCTTTCTCACCAATCTTTCTCTCTCACCATCAATAGCTGGTTGCCCCGATGGATGCACCTGTACTGGACTTTCATTCACCTGTCACGTTCATACCTTACGCATCACATCTCTACCGAGGAATCTTAGAAAACTGTAAAAACTTGTCACTTTGTATATACCATATATTTGACAGTTTCAGTGAATAAAATCGTAGAAAGGGATAGAAGTAATGCTTCTCAAGCATAATCAACCATAATCACGTGATTAAAGCTTCAAAACTAGAGATCTTTGCATGTATACCAGGTTTATCATGACAACCAGTTTAATCGTTCATTAAAGCTATAGATATTTGAGTTTCCACACAAATATAGATGTAAACCCCACGTATATGGAAAAATTGAACTTCACTTTTACAAAAAGAAGATATTTCTAACTTATATTCTTGACAAAAGTCGTTGAATACAAATATAAAGGGATACTATACTATCTATTCTCATATATTTAATGCCTGTCATTATACAAGTTTGAGTCTTCCGGTCTTACCTTGAAGATGAAACATCTTCCAACCCTGCATCGGTCGTTCATGCCATTTCTAGACACTAACATTCACATTCTTGTGACAGAATCATTGCAATTATCATCGAAATCATTTAGGTCCCTTGGTTGTGAGAGAGAAATGCCATGTGGTACCAGAGATATCGTGAATGCCTTGGAAACAGATGCGAATGAGAATGGGATAATCGTACCGTCCATGCTACCTTACCTCGTTGAAGTGTAAGTGAATTTACACAGTAAATAATGTACCACTTCGTCTACTACTATTATTAATGTATTATTACTACTATACCACTACTACTATTACTACTACTACTTTTACTATAACTTCTACTACTACCACCACCACCACAACCATTACAGCCGCCACCATCCCCACCACTCGTACCATTACTACCGGCTAAGTAGTCATCTGGGACTTTGATGCTCTTTAACAACTACATGTAAAATGACAATTGAATATGATGATGATGATGACGATGAAAATGATAATGATGATGACGACGATGATGATGATGATGACGACGATGATAAGAGTGATGACATTGATGACTAAACTGATAAACAAACATATCCTTTCTTTGTCAACTATTTCTACCAATTGAATTTTATTCATGAACATTGCAATTTTTTTTGCTTTTACGATTCATTTGATTGTGTTAAATATAAACATAATTTTCTTTATCTTTCATACAGTGCCTTTAAAAAATCAGGAGTTTCAGAGATTGAACACGGATCATTTTCAGAAAGTTCAAATATTTTGCACCTGTAAGTATTACACACTAAACCCAAGAAAAAATATTTATTTATGTAAAAATCCCATGTGTTCTGATTATGTTGTTATCGTTACTATATTTTATTCATGTTAGTACTATTGTTATTACATTTATAACTCTGATGGCTCAAAACCTTACATTACGCAACTAATCTATTCAGTTCAAAAGTAACCGTCAATCCAATTCAATCAGAATACGTTTATCTCAAGAGTTCAGGGTATCTGTCAAGAACTTCAGCATTTGTTTATAATATTTATTTATGTAAAAACATTACGTAACTTTTCTTTCCGATAATGATCAAATCAAATGTTTCTAATGTAAGCACCGTTTTATTGATTTGAAAGTTTTTACTTTGTAGTTTAATGTGATGAATGTAAAGCCATTGTAATGACAAAATAATGTAATGAAAGTAACTATGGATATAATGGTAATGACAAAATAATGTAATGAAAGTAACTATGGATATAATGGTAATTGTTCAAATTATGAATTCAAATGCATATATTAGTTGTCGTTAGGTAGGACAAACATTATGGTTTGCCCTACCTAAAAACACGTCACATTTGCAAATTACATTATGACTATTGAAATACCATTATTCCTAAACAGGTGAATGAAATAATTCGTATCGGGGCACTTAAGTATAAATTTTGGTAACATTACGAAATTGGCCTATATCATATATTATTTAAGATGAATGATAATGTACCAATGCATTTGTCTTCCCCTTTTCTGTCAGAGATCTCGCATTAAATGACATCAACATGTTATTTCAAGGTGTATTCGGAGGTTTACAACGATTAGTTACTTTGTAAGTTTCTCTTTGAATTGTCCGTATTTTCCATTCATCTTGTTATTAATGTTTGTTAACAAATGCTAGTTTTACACTTCCATGTTTTCTTTTATGTCTGTTATGTCTTCAGTGCTCTTACGTTCGATGACTTGTAAAGCTAAGATTATTATCTATATTAAATAAATGTTGCATTATATTAAATGAATATGTGCGTCTGAGAATTGTCAGGCTATTATATTTTACTCCATTTGAAATATGAGTGTGGAGAAGTTTTCCCAGTACTCCATGTGAAGCTTATAACAATGATGCATGCATTTGGAATTTAGTAAATTAATTTGTGTTTAGCTGTAATTATCTATGTGCCCATTCTTTTCGTAATCTTTAAAGTTGGTTATCATTTATTACAATTCTTTGGAATACATAGCGGTTCATATATCAATATAATCCTGATCCATAAACATATGCAATAATCCCAGAATGAGGGAAAAACGGACATTACCAATAAAACCCTATCATAAAATTAGTATTTTTTCTATATACCTCTTTCTCTCTCTCTCTATCTTCAGGAACCTTTCACACAATCCTCTGCAGATGATTGAAATAGGAACGTTTGATAACCTAACCAACCTCCAAGAGTTGTAAGCACATTTATTTAATTTCTGGAAGAAAAAAATGTATATCCTGTAACAAATAGAGGCTTGAGTAATATCACATTTTGTGTATTACAGTACGCGTTGTTTGATTTAGTTTAGCTGATGTATTAGCGGATGATATCAACATTACTTTAAAAAACAAACTGTCATATGTTTAATTACTCGCTTGGAATAGATAGAGAATGTTTTTATGTGAAATAAGAATAGTGTATTTCTATAAATAGTATTTTGACTATACTAACTTCACCTTGACACTGCTAAAAAGAATATATGTCTCTATGTTGGTGAAATAGTTGCTGAGTATTCACTCATCCTGAAATATTTCTACATTATTAATGTTCGATTAATTAATAAAGTATTTGTTCTATAAATTGTATTAATTGTAATTAGTATTTTTATAAATAATTATTTTTGTTTGTTTGTGTTTCATTGCAGGGATATTCGAAACACACTGATATTCGAATCAGGCGATACTGAATTTGGCGCGTTCACAGGCTTACAGAATCTAGAAACCATGTAGGTCCAAAAGTTACAATATATTAGTCGAAATTATATAAAAACGCAAAATAGATCAATGACGGCGGACATGAAACTCGAAATGAGGGGGGGGGGGGGTATCCATTTCAATAGGGACTCCTTGCGGCATAGTCATAGGAAAGAAAAGGAGAGGATTCGTTGAATGGGATCTTTTTTCACGGTCCGCGACGGATGTCAATTTCTGGGCTTGGAATGGATGTCATGGAGGTGGTAATGAGAATACTTTTTTCAAGATATTTTGTAAAACAGCATCTGAGGAACTAATACTTCAACAAGCTCTGCTTCTCAGTGTTCCTCTTTTCTTGTGCTATTTCTATTATATTTGTTGTTTCATTGTATATATTTTTTGTAATATACTTATTCATTGTATTGCGTTTTGCATGAGAAATGAAATCATTTGAATACTACAAACAAAATGATGGTAGGGGAGGCTGAGCATGGGTAAGATATTTCTATTGTTTCTTGAATTATCTCTGTTGGACGGTTTGTATCATTTGTGCATCTTCCTTCTCGTAACCGTCTTCTTTAAGTTTTAAAATCTAAAATCTAGATAACTGATAAAACTGGGGTTGGTGTAACATTTATACAAGAGTTTTCATTTTTATACCGTTAAATGAACTAAAACATTAGTACCGACATGATTTGCTTATATGTTTTTGTTTAAATGTATATATAGGTATGCCGACAAATACCTTCTATGCTGCCTGGCGGGTTTGGGGGATTCCCCTAAGTGCAATGCACCACGTGACCAGTTCTCGTCGTGTGAAGATCTCATGGCCAATAACATCCTTCGAATCTTTATCTGGATTCTCGGGACCAGTGCTTTCATTGGCAACGTCCTTGTTGTTGGCTATAGACTCGTCAATTCTGGATGGGGCCGACATACAACCGTCCAATCAAGTCTGATCACCAACCTAGCCGTCTCTGATTTCTTGATGGGTTTGTACATGATTTCAATAGCGTCAGCCGATGTCTTTTACCAAGGGAACTATGCTGCTCATGCTGATGATTGGAAGGATAGTATCCTGTGCAAGGTTGCAGGTATCACTTCCGTTGTCTCCAGCGAGGCTTCGGTGTTTCTGATCACGGTCATAAGCATTGATAGGTGTGTCCATGTGGTGGTGCCATTTAAACCGCAACTACACCTCTCTGTTCGTGGTGCCCGAGTAGTTGAGCTCATCATCTGGGCCCTCGCCGCCTTCCTTGGCATTCTACCAACTCTTATCCCGGCTTTCGTCGAAGGGAAGTTCTACGGTCAATCAGGAGTCTGTCTGGCTCTACCCCTAACAGTCGATCGTCCTGCAGGATGGCACTACTCCATCTCCTTATTCATTGGTGTCAACTTCGTGGCGTTCCTGGTGACCCTCCTATGTTACATCTCCATCTACTGCATGTTTCAGATGTCGAAGCAGCGGATCGTCGGGAAAAGGAACAAGTCTAAGGAGGATATGCGATTGGCTGAAAACATCAAGCTGGCATCTAGGATGGCGCTTGTTGTTGGTACAGACCTTGTTTGTTGGTTACCAATCATCATCATGGGCTTGATGTCAGCGAGTGGAACTCTGACAATTTCTGCACAGGTGAGTTTCCACTACCACACCTCTAATAATGTGGTCGTAGACAAAGTTAGGGCAGAGCAATTTGCCCTTATGGATAATTATTTGGGGGATGTGTTGTTCGGTCTGTTAGATCGTTGGTCAAACTACGGGCTATAATCTGTCACTCGTAGGGAAGATGAGTATTTTTCAATTTTGTTGGAAAGATCAGGCCGTATTACTTCAGGAAATACCAACGTGGAAAGACTTTGATTCAGAAAAATATAAACCTTTTTCAAGCTGACTTGTTTAAAGACCAACTCATGTTCGCTGTTCTGTAGTCATAGAAGTAGCAAAACGGTGTCCCATTTTGTTGACGTCATGGAAATATCTGAGAGTTAATTTGACATGCTATACAATGTACATTCCATTGTTATCACGATTAATATATTTCTTTACTTTGAAGGTATACGCATGGACAGCAGTCTTTGTGCTACCCGTCAACTCGTCTCTTAATCCATATCTTTACACGCTTGTATCGATTCGCCGAAGGAAGCAGAAATCAGCTGAGAATCGAAGCATGAAGTACGAGGAAAAGACTATGGGTAAGGACTGATATCTCTCTCAATGGATTATTTAGTGAAGTGTGTCGACAATCTGAACGTGCGCCTACTGCTAGTGGTGGTGGTTATTTTACCTGGCTGCTAAGACAGCATAAATGCGTGTTAATAGGGTGATCATACTGCACACAGTCTGCCCCATGCACACACACAGACAAACACACGCACACACACACGCACACACGCACCCACACACACACACACACACACACAACAGCAGTCAGTTGGTAGAAAAAGCAATTTTCGTAAATTTATTTTTTTTAAACTGAACAATATTTTTAAATTTTTATTTCACATATCTTTCAAGCATACATTTAACTACAATTCTGTGTAGTTTCATTGTTATAGGCATGTGGGAAATATGTTAAATTATTAATTAGAATATTGTCTTTTGAGCCATGTGTGACATTATTCTGCGTGGTGAAAATGCACCTCAATGTATAAAACTACCCTACTAAAATGCAGTATCCTCATGTGTTTCACTCATAGGTAGCCACAACTGTACTGGGGTCACCAAACTTTGTTTTTCTCTGAAATTCAGTCCTTGTGGAATGTTATGGCCTGTCGAATGGTTTCTCGGAAAATCGTCATAAATCCTCAAATTAGACATTTTTTTAAACGAAAACTGTACTGTGATGTAGCTGAAAATCTGCAAATTCTTATCATTTGATCGGTTTTTCTGAATAATTTGTGAAACATATGAGAAAATAGCTGTAACGTTGATCCAAGTAATTTCCATCGCCATATTTTATTGGAATTGCAAAAATATTTGGAATTTAATGTTAATGTTTGGTGTAAATATGATCTTTAAATATATGATGTAAAAAATGCCAACAAAATGAAAAGTTTGACTTTCCATATATATAATTAGCTGAAATGACCTAATTTGCATATTCGATGAATATTCATATTTTTTTTTCAAAAAAAAAAAAAAAATTCTATACCTGTCTGATATACATAGGTTTCATTGATGTATCATGTTCGGTTTTGATTTGATTACATTATGCGCATATTAATTAGGCGGACTTAGTTATTTTCACAACTTTTTCATATCTGCAGATTCGCAAAAATGGCAAAAATGACTTATTTTGTTTGCTTCTGTTTTCAAAACGGTAATAGATATATGAATTTTCTTTTTTGTATTTTTTACCACAAAGATGATATTTTAGTGTTTGATAATTCAATTTATTAAATGTGTCCAAGAACGTGACGAATTGAGTTGTCAACTTTGTCGCATTTTGCCATTTTTGCCAATTTGACCATTTCTGGCAGGTTTTTCGGTAATTTTGCGATATCACAAAAATGGTATAAAATCACAACGCATTGACCGATTTCAATTATGTTTTTTGTTTTTTGAAGCTTTCATAAAGCTTGATCATTTGCAATCATCAAATAACATGTCTTAGTTATACTTATTTTGGTGTGCTATACCAAGTGTTAGTAAGCAACCAGACGGCCAACGGCTTTAGGTCCTCTCCGAGTGACCTGGTAATGAGGATTAATGCCTTACCAAAGGGCACTAGCGCATCGAGTTGGTTTCAAACCCGGGTCACAGGGTTACTAGACCACTGCTCTACCAACTGAGCTATCGCGCCTCCTTCTAGTACTTCGACACGTTTACCCTGTCACAGATTTCACTATTTTCAGCTAGTAAAAGACTGTTTGGTTGATGATTAATGCTAATGTTGTTTTTTTCCTGACGTTCAAAGTCGATTATGTCGATACATAGGTACTCAGGGGAGCTGGAACTTTAAATCATTGCCTTGTCGTCACCTATTGAAATGTGCCATAACAATGACGTATTTCAACAGCCGAACATGACTTGTGTGAGGTTTTCTTAATTTGTTGCCACAAAATACTTACATAGTAAACAGGGGTAACAAGAAAGGATCTGAAATCGAATGACAGACATTCTTTGTTTGTTATAAAGTGGGAAGATTATTAACCGCAATATAATCGTATTGAAATTTCCTTTGAGTTTATTCCTTTATATTGTTTGCGATCATGCTCCATGCTGGCTTACAAGATGCTTTTCCCTCACTTTATTGATGTATTAGGGCAAAACTATTCTATTCCATAAGTCACCTACTGCACCTATAATCCCAGTACATATATATTTGATGAGTGCATCCAGCTGATAGTCCTAATTGAATCTTGAATCAGATAAAACATTGACAAGAGATATATTATTATTATGTCAATTTATGTTCGTTGATTTAGCAACGTATGGGACGTATATTTGACTTGCCCATGAATATATAATCCTTTCTCAGGGGTCAGTATTTTTTGACAACTTTGACCTCGAGTTGATTTCTTGAAAATGTTTGAGAGGCGTTTCACGCTGTCTTACAAAGGGTCCCGTAACACAAATGTATGTAATCAATTGCAAATTTGAAACAACGATTCTGATTGGTTGATAGTCCACCAATTGAGTGCAACGATGATCTTGATTTGGCCATTGCCATTTTGCGGTTGATAGCAACTATCGTGTTACAGGGCCTAGAAACGTTTTCCTTCATTTATTTTAATGGATGTATCTAATGACTCATTGATCCCTTCCAGAAGCCAGTGTTTTCTATGACACGTCAATCATCTCAGCATTCACGTCTTTGCCCAGCCCCTCTCCCGAGCGACTGATTGAATGGATGAAACGTAACCAACGATCTCTTAGACGTTTAGAAATCGATGTAATTCAACGTGACGTCACAAAGGCTGTGGAAAGAATGAAGGAGTCTGGACTATGGAATGACGTCATACTAAACTTGCATCAAATTGCCGTCCAAGCAGTAAGTTTGAGATTTGTTTTGGAAGTGACATTAAAACTGTTTAAACGATCGAAATGACTTTGGAAAAATTAATGAAATGTAACTACAATAGCCCTGTACATCATATGATTTCACGAAGTCTTTGTGATCCTGTTTTTTTTAAATGAGAGATGTAGTGCGGGACAAACTTTACAGGAACATAAAAATATATATATTTATCTATACCCTGTTCTATTATCTGGGAAAAGGTCAAAATGCAACTCCTCCATTCAGGTAAAGTAAGATTCTATTAAAAGTATTTACTAAAGAGTGTTATTTCTTTTTACAGAATGGAGCAGGGAGAATCCTACACGCTTTTGTAGTGCTAGACTCATCTCTGACTTTCCTTGAATCACGTGATGACGATCTGACGACCATTCTGGAGAATGATGGAAACATTGACATCATACTCAATATGATTGCGAAGGCAAATATGCCAAAGTAAAGAAAAGGAGAGATTGGTAAATCTAAGATGGGAATGAATCATGAAATAACGATATTTGTTTAGAAGCTACATGGAGTATTAAAGAAAAGTGAGAACACCTCACGAAAAAATTAAATATTGAATTGAAGTCCCTTTCTGCAATACACTATTTTAATAAATATGCTACACCTTTAAATGTATCTTGATATATTACCAAATATATACCATTGCTTTAAACAGACTTCTGATGGATCAAATTTATATAAAAAAAATGACATGAAAGATAAACTTGAGTTCTGGGAAATAAAGAAAATGAATTCTCACAGAATCAGACGAAACTTACACAGGATGTTCAAGATTACAAGTAAAGGTCAAGTGCCAAACAATTTTGGAAGAAAATGTATACTGGCTGAGTAATGAGCATAAAAAGATAAGGAAATCAAGGTAAGCTAGCACCGATACCATTTGTGTAGTCCCATATACATCTTTCTGTGTACAGTGTTTGTTACTTTACCAAGACTGGGCCAAATTTATTAAGATTTTGATGACTCCAGAACCTTGCAGTGCACACCAATACTTACATGCCACATGATCAACTTTTTTCTGATCCATTCCACACCTTTTCTTTCACAATGCAATCGCATTACCAGAACTCACCTTCATCTTTAAACTCAACTTTTTGGTAGGGATAGATGATGTATTTCTAACTTTATATATTTAGAGAATACTTTCGATTTACCATGATGTTACATTTAGAGCCGAAGTCACATTAGGCGTGTACAACCAGTTGCAGCACATGCTCACAAAAATATTGTATTCTTTCATACAATATCCTCCACATTACCTTTCTTTTCCTGGTGATGCTACAGAACATCTGACGTAGCAACTCCTATGTTGGTATTGTAAGGTCTATTGTAAACCGGTAGTAAGCTCTTGTGAAGCTACATTACCACTGTCTCTTCTTAGCTCATTAATGATTGACAGATGGTGTCACAGGACAAATGAGATCTGGAGCATTTGTACACAAGAGAGCAATCGTAAGGAATGACTGTTTTGCTGAAATGTGTTGATAACTCTTTTTTTATATATAAATATTTGCATCAGATTGCCAATTTCCTCGCACAGAGCTGCTAATGTCTAGTAATTTGGTCGCCTTGGTTAAGTATGTACTATTTACCTGCAAATGGTTGTGTATTACGGACAACGCTAGCCTCTTGTCGATGGCCCTCGCGTTGTTGGAAGTTTACGGACTCCAACAACGCGAGGGCCATCGACAAGAGGCTAGGACAACGCCAGCTTTTGTTTCCAATGTTTATTTCTGTTCTCAAAATAGTTTTCACGACCTCTATGAACGTACACTTGCTTTTGGTTTTAATGTAAAAAAATTAAACATGTCGTACCAGTGGAAAAGACAATTGTTATTATGTTTAATCTTGTATGCACATGATTTATTTTAAACAGAACAAGATATTTTAATGGTTCAGACTTCAGAGTATCTAAATCGTACAGTAAAAAGTAAAGAGAGAAAGCATTTTTATTAACTTTGAACTAACTTTATTCAACATGATCGCAACTATTCTCGAACAATTAACTCACGCAATTTATATTATATGTTCCTCATAAATCATGTTTGGATTAGAAATACGTCATGATAATGTTAGCACATTTCAAAATGTGACGTACAAGGCCATTAAAATTGCCTAAATGTTGATTTTCCAAAAATACATGTATAGTTGCGATTGTGATATATGTGGATATTTTAGACATATACTTTGTTATATAGATATCGCATTAACCTCTACCTCGATGATTTGATTTGGAGGTTTTAGTATTTTTCTCATCGTAGCCACTGGCGGAATTGAAAAAGATATACATTGATGAAAACACGTAAGTAATAAAGATGTACTTACTAAAAATGAAGCATTATAACTGTAAAGAGATGATTGGTACTGCAAAATCGAGAAATTGGCAACGAATACAGACATACTAAAGCTTTCGTCTTGTACTCATTGGAGTAAATCGTAAGAACGAACAGAGCAGAAATATTAACGGGATGTGATTGGCTGCCGCAAAGTAGATGTAAAGCCAGTCGTATAATAAAAACGGGTTGTTGCAATGCTACTCTTTCTGACTTTTTTCAGAATTCGTAAAATCTTCGATTTTCGTTGAAATGTGTGAATTCTTGTCTGGATATGGGATAAGGCTAAAATAATTTTACATGAAGAAAATTTTGAAAGCAATTTTACAATACGTGGGTAAGTCTAAATTGCAACAATTTTGCACATTTCACATAAACTGTTGTCGAGTATTGGCTTGGGAGGGGGTAATAATTATTGATGATTGATAAGCAAAGATAAGCCTGCTAACCAACATTAGTAAAAGCCGCTACTCCAATATTCACCTCTAACTTTAGTTTCAATAAATTCAAGTGCTGCACAGAACTACGTTTTCATACTTCTAATCTGTTTCGAATAGAGGTTTGTATATGTGTATACGTACTAATCAAGGCAACAAATATATCTCGCTTTGACCTTTTAATTATTCACATTCGGTCTTTTTCTTACACGCATTATAGTTTCACAATAGGCCATTTTTGCAATGTTATCGAATGTAATGCACAACTCTTTGTTATAAGTGCCTCGTTGCAAATTATGTAAATCACCTGTTACGAATAATTGTATTGCAATACTTAGAATGCTAATCGCATACATTACTTGTTGCTGGGTAGGAAAATTAAGTTATAAAATTTGTCCTACCTTGCAATAATTAATGTATTCAATTCGCATTATGACTATCGAAATACAATCATTCATTACAGGCGATTTAGGTGAGGTACTTAGCAGATGAATTTGATTACATTTTTAATATGGCCTTTCTGTTAAGCAAGGACACGTTGTCATTACGATACGAACATTAGGGGTGAATATCGTGATCCATGGTGAATAGCAGAGACAAAGAGGGTCTGCCTAAAACCGGCGGTGTTTTACAATGATCAACCTCGCTATAAAAAATGAGATGACAGTTGTCTGATTATTTGAATTTGGAGAAAAAAAATCAGGGGCTGCAGCTAAACCCCGCTCCTCATCACCTTGAATCATTATGTCTATGACCAAGAAGGTAGTTTACATATGAAATAAGTCTGCCGGGTGGATGTACATGACACATCGTTCCAATCACCAGAGAAAGCAGAGACCATCTCGGTGCAGTCCTCTCGGCCTGTTCCATCGGGCTGACCGGGAAACCAGTTAGTGTAGTCACTGTCCGTCCCGTCTATCCACTCATGGCTGGCATCTGATGTGGCGTCATGAAACCCTATCCACATGTACCCTACACCCTGATAAAGAGAGAGAATGATTGAGAGAGGTGGAGGGAGAGATGGAGGGAGAGACGGAGGGAGAAATAGAGGGAGAGCAAGGGAAGCGAGAGGAGAGAGAAGGCGAAGAAACAGATACGGGAAAGAGAGAGGGTGTGAGGGAGATGGAGAAGGGGTAGATTGGAAGAGAAAGGAGGAGAGAAAGAGATGTTGAAGAGAGAGAGAGACAGGCAGACAGAGACAGATATTGACAGAGACAGAGAACGGTAAAGAGAGAGAGAGAGAGAAAGAGGGGGAAAATGGATAGAGCAATTAGTTTATAAATATTATTCCTCATTACTCTGACCACTAAATGACGTGATAGCCCAATGCAAGTAGACAATTATGTTACGTTGCTATTTCTTAAATTGAAGATACTTTTTTGCAGGGGGGGGGGGGTCCTTTCTTTCTTTATTAATTAATGTTTATAACTTTTTAATCATCATGTAAAACAAATAAATACAAAATAAAGGCACTTTTCGCTGTTTTACAACCAAATAATATTTCCTTCTACACTATGATCTATACCATCAAAAATATCAATGATAAACACAAAAAGTCCCCAAAATGTTATCTCTAGGTCCATAACAATGTTGGACACAATTCTTTAAAAACATTGCCAATTTCCTGAAAAGGCTATCCGAATCCAGTCAAAATCATAATGGAATGAACATTAATATGACTCTGAGGTGCGTAACGTTTTAAAGGGAAATATTATGTGTACCTTACATTTATATTATTTAGAAAAAAGTTTACAAATGTATACTGCTTACATAATCAACTTTCGCAGCCAACCATCATTCGCTTGATAAATATAAAAGTCATCATTTTATGATCGGTTAAAGGAATGGGGAAAAGACAGGGTGCTGACTAAAGGGATAGTTGATTTCTGTTTTCAGACCGCAAATGCCTTCAAATTGCATGGTTATTGCTCTTATTCTTATTAATGACATTTCTAGTGCCGTTTTAGCACCTAAAATTGCTATAAAGGTAATTGTATACCCCCAAATTTAGATCAGCACGAAAAAGCCAACAAAGAGCCAACATTGACATTGGCTAGAATAAAACGTATAAGGCGCTATCTCGTTTTTTTTCCAACGCTGGTTGGTTCAACATTTTAGAAATTGTTATATTTATGGATATTTTAGCCGTCTCTAAACTGACTTTCATCAAACAAATAGGATTAATGTCATTTTAATTTAATGCTAAAAAAAAAATTGTGTAGCGCCCTGTATACCAAAACTCAACTATCCCTTTTAAAATATGGCCTAGGTTGAGATTGCCTAAGATCGATGGCTGGTTAAAACTAACGAATACGTACAAACAAAATTAGGTTGATGTTGGATTCTATCGAAATTTTAAATCAATCAAAAATCTGAAATGGAATAAAAGTACCTGTTTCTTGTACGAAGATTTGAAAAGTGTGTCAACGAAGTCGTTTTCTTGTCGAGAATGAATAGAAACAAGATGACCTAAACTGTCTATGACTAAGTCTCCATCGCCGAGAGAGGGCACTGAATGAGTACGGCAAATCATTTCAGCAGCTTCCCACGTTAGGTTGTAGGAAAAAAATCTGTTAAAAAAACAGCAACAAATGTAGCGAAGAATGGATTCAGGAATATGAAAATTGGGGCACATGCCGAATGAAACATTAGTTTTCTGACTAGCAAAAAAAAAAAAGATTAAAGCTAGCTATCACATATTAAAGGTACTATGTCCCTTTTGTAGCAAACCTCAAATTATGTAGAACTTTGCAGGAACTATGAATATGTCATGTATGTCCTATCTGTGAAATTTAAACGTTACCAGTGTCCTAATATTCAAATTATGCAAAGAAACCTGTTTACTTGCGAGACTTCACTGTCAGACACTATCGAGTGACTGACTGACCTTTTCCTTCTGTGGTAATAACATACATAAAATAAGCTGTAAAGGGTACATGAGCATTTGTCTACATCAATAACCCACTTCTTGTAATGGCCAACATTAAACTGATTGAATCTTTGCGCAGCATAAAACGTATGACCATTCGGTACAATGGTCTGACGATCAAGACTATTACTTATTGGCTCTATAGCTCCTAAGTCTATTTGACAACTAATAGTCGTTATTTTCCTACTTGAAGACATTTTTAAGCCTCACCTCTTTTAGGGAAGTCCTAAATTAGTATTATCTTTCAAAAGCCGTTGGAATTTAACCTTTTCATTTTGTTGGCCTGCAAATGGGACATAGTACCTTTAAGGTGATTTTACCTCTTTAATTTAAACAAACGCGCAATTAAGAGACACAATTAGGGAAATACTAAATTGCTATAACAGTGAATCAGACATACCATGCTCTTAATGTTTTACAGTGAAACTAGCTTTAGTCATAGAATTGAGAATCCAGACCAATTTTGGTTTCTGCAGCCCACTTTTTATATTGCGCATTTTTCCTTCACACCATGGCATTTTCAAGAGCAGTGGTACAGTGGTACAAAAATGGTACATATGGTATACAAAAATTATGATAATACAAATTTTGTTTTCACAGGAAAGCCTGATCAGATCAGCGTAAATGCTTTACTTCATGAGCGCACTCAAAAGCAGGAAAAGGGCCATTTCTAATGATATAAAGTTATTTATACCTGTAGCAATGGCGCCCAAACGAAGTCCACATTGAAGGGCAGCAGCAACCAGCTCGTACCCCGCTGGGGCTGGCGAGCATGACGGTGACAACCCCGATGAAAAGTAACGCAGTCATCTTACTCATATCCATTGCCATGCTTATCACCTTCCAACAGCGTTCAACTTTCAATCTGTAAGAGTAAACATAATACTCATCGCTTTATAACCACACGGGGTTCCTTCGGGAATATCTTTAAGAAAAATAGTCATTTAGTTCAAGGTTGTTTTTCGTTGGGGGAGGGGGGGGGGGGGGGGGGTAGCTCTTTGTTCGTGAAGAGATCTAGAATAAACTACTTCTTGTGTTTTTTATGATATGATAAGAACAGGCTGCTTTCCATAATGCCCCCAGACATAATGTTAGGGCCTGCAAAAGAAATTAGAATCGTGCCGATGTATAATTTATTAAGCAAAATGGATAAATCAAAAGTAAAATACATAATAAGAAAAACCTGTTTAAATGATAATCTTCATGGGGTAAGAAAACAAAAATCGACTCCGAGTTTTTTGCTGTGACCTAACGTCATTTGGGAAATGGGCGTGTATCTCCGAATATTCCTACGTGAAATATAGGAATTAAATGTAAATAATATGTTATAATCCTACAGTTCTTATTGTGGGTTCAGAGAATATGTTTACTATAGTTCGCGAATAAATTTCTTCGTTTTGTGAATTTGCGGGTTAGGTAGGTGCAGAATACATGACCACTAAAGACAGGCGGCCTTTTTGATTGGTGGCCACTAAGACAGATCCGGCTGTAGGCAGGGGCGTCAATCCGTTTCATATGATTTTTTGGGGGACAATGAAATCTGAGTGTCCAAGTAGAGCATAGCGAGCGAATACGGCGTGAGGTCCAGGCCGGTGCGACGGAGCGTGTTACAAAGTGTGGGGGGGGGGGGACCAAAAAAGGGCACTTTCTGGATAAGGGGGCACCTACCAAGGGAAATCTCAAAACGAAATATACCATTTTTAGACATTGGTATATACCCCCACATTGTGACTACATTATCAGGGATTTTTTTTTTCTCATCCTCTTTCGAGGTATTTATTTGCAATAACATGTATACATTCAATAAATATAAATCAAGGTTTTACAGCAACCGTTGATAAGATTTGTTGAACTTCACCTTCTTTTCCAAATTTAGAGTAGCTTACACTTTCCAAATATAATATAATAATTAAGCAGGTCACACCAAGATATATTTGTTGCATTGATTAGTGCAGATAAACATACACACATCAATTCGAAACACATTGGTATGAATGCGTAGTTCTGTGCATCACTTGAATTTATTGAAAGTACATTTAGAGGTGAATAGTGCAGTAGCGGCTCTTACTAATGTGGGAGAGGAGGTCTATCTTTGTTCATCAACCATCAATAATTATCCTCCCTTCCCCCAGCCAATACTCGACAACAGTTTATATGAAATGTGCAAACAACAGTGGAATGCCTTTTTATTGCACAATTTCTTTCAAATTGTCTACATGTTTAAAATAATTTCGGCTTAAAGGAGCTGCACAAAGAAAATTCACTAAAAACTGATAATTAGAACAAATTACATATGGATGGAAAGATTTTCTCTTTAAAAACACGAATAATTTGCTGAGAAATCATATAGATATCATGGAAAGGCGTAAAATGCAATTTTTCAAGACCCTTCTTAGACCCCCCCCCCCGAACGTAAGCCAAACACACGAGCGTAGCGAGCTCTAACAAGTGACGTCACACACTGTTCAAACAGCTCAGTGCCGTGTAGCAGTCTGCAGTAAGCCAGCCGTGTCCCTTTTGTGACGTCACAAATAATAACGCTCTATAAAAGTCCACTGATTAAGGCAGAAAATCTGGATCTCAAAACTAAAATTTTTGAGAGTTGATTACTGCGGGCCCCAAACATATTTTGAAGAAACGAGTTGTTGTATTTGATCAGCAAGGCTTTCCCTTCGCAATGATATGAGTTTTGCATCAATTCAAAACCCTTTTGATTCTTCGTGTGGCTACTTTAAGCCCATATCCAGACACGAATTCATAAATTTTTGAAAGAAAAATCTTTATGTCGGCACAGAATAGGGAATGTGCCATCAGAATAGTTGGTGAGAACTCTAAAGTTAAAGGGATAGTTGAGTTCATGTTTAAGAATACAAATGCCTTCAAAGTGAATGGATATTGCTCTTATCCTTATTTATGACATTTGCCCTTTTAGAACCTACAATTTCTATGAAGGTAAGTTTAGACCCCGAAGTGTATGAATTCATGGTGAATTTTAGATTGCATACGATCATACCAATTGAGCTCCAATTTCAACAAACAAATACGGTGGCCGTTAATTAATTAATACAATAATAAATCCTGTTGAATATAGTACGATCAACCTTAATCAAATGTTCTCTCTTTTCTGTTTACTGTACGAAGAAGATACTCTGAACCATTTTCAGCTATTTTTGTTTTAATCAGTGCTTTATGTGTGGTATTTTCCTTTTACTATAGCCAATGTATATTCCGACCAAAATTACCACACTACACGGATAATTCTCACACAATAATAAAGTACAGTCTAACCTGACTTAGCCGCCACCACTCATAAAGACCTCATGTCTTTAGTGGTCATGTACTTTGCATGTACGTTACCCGCAAATTCACAAAACGAAGAAATCTATACGCAAACTATAGTTAACAAACATTTTAAAAAACATGTTCTGAACCCACACTGCGATGAACTATATTTAACATAGGAATATTCGCGAAGATATACGCCCATTTCCCAAAAGACTTCAGGTCACAGCATAATCTCGGGGTTGATGTTTCTTCTTCTTACCATATGAAGATAATCATTTAAACAGTTTTTCTTATTCTGCCTGTTTCTGTATTTAGATTTAGATTTTCAAATGAGTGGATATTAAAAAGAAAAGAATTTGTCAAAGCGTGTATTCCCAGATAGGACCACTTGTCTATACCGTGTGAGTCCAAACAAAAGTTTACACCTAGAACATTTTAATTATTTTAAACATCATCTATGAACAGTAAATTATTGTACATCTTCTGAAAGAGCGTTTTTATCCCAAATCATTTGGTATCATTTTTGTGTGGTATGTGTACACGCTTGGATGAACAGTAGGCATTGTTTGCGAGAGTGTAATTTACTTTCCATGATGACTTTGAAAATAATTAGCAATTTTCTAGGTGTAAACTTTTTTTTTGACTCACACTGTAGTGGCCATGAATATACGTTACCTGCAAATTCACAAAACGAAGAAATCTAAACTATACAGTGTGTCCCGAAAAAAACTATACACTTTTGAAATGGCTGCCGAATAAAAAATATATGATTCTAGGGGGAAAAGTTGTATATGTATGGAAAGCCCATAAACTCAACTTTCATATGACACCAACAAGTTTGAAAATAATTCATGCTTGGGTGAGCACTGCTCACTTTTGTAAAGGATATGAAAATTAGGTTGCGCAGGAATTAGCCTTCCAATGTGTGAGAGGTAAATCCTTTGGAGCTTACAACATTGAGGGTGATATGATAAATTCATGATTTACTGAGTGAGTTCCATGGTTTATTAAACCAAACTTTTATGCACGGAACAGGAATTTCATTTTTCTATTGTAGCATTGTAACTTTTCCTGGTAGACTCAGTGGTGTGTTCATGAGAGTCAGGATGGGGTGATGGTACATGTTGTAATTTCCATGTTACAAACTGTTATTTTTTACATTTGTGACTTTGAATAAAAACCTTCACCCCACATTTCAGTTACCATTTACCTGAAGAATAAGTAGCCGACAACTTGGACATTCCTTTTTTCAACAAACCGTATTTGAATATTCGATTTACATTATCCCTACCTGGGTATTGAATAAATCATTAAATGAGATGTTCAACTAATCTTACAATAATTGAAATGTGGGGTGAAGGTTTTTATTCAAAGTCACAGATGTAAGAGAATAACAGTTTGTAACATGGAAATTACAACATGTACCATCACCCCATCCTGACTCCCATGAACACACCACTGAGTCTAACAGGGAAGTTACAGTGCTACAATAAAAAATGCAATTCCTGTTCACTCATGCATAATGTTAATCCCATAAACCAAACATTTCACTCAGCAACTCCGAACTCATCACAATTGATCATAAATTGGTCATATCATCCTCAATTCCGTAAGCTCCAAAGGATTTACCTCTCACAAATTGGAAGGCTAATTCCTGCGCAACCTAATTTTCGTACCCTTTACAAAAGTGAGCAGTGCTCACCCGAGCATGAATTATTTTCGCAACTTTTGGTGTCATATGAAAGTTGAGTATATGAGCTTTCCATACATATATAACTTTTCCCCTAGAATCATACATTTGTTATTCGGCAGCCATTTCAAAAGTGTATAGTTTTTTTCGGGACACACTGTAGATGAACTGTGTGCTTATAATATATTATTTACCTTTAATTCCCATATTTTACGATATAGCGCCTGATATGCTTTTTTCCAGCTAATGAAAATGTTGACTTTTACGTGTTGGTTATCATACGCACGACCAGGTTCTAGGACAATTACCCCCTTGGCAATCACCCCCCGGAAAATTACCCCGCGGAAAACTACCCCCAAAGGACAATTACCCCCTGGAATATTACCCCCGGAGAATCACCCCCCCCCCCCGAGGACAACTACCCCCAAAGGACTATTACCCCCCGTAAAATTACCCCCCGGAGAATTACCCCTTGAGGACAATTACCCCCCGAGGACAACTACCCCCCGAGGACATTACCCCCCGAGGACAATTACCCCCCGAGGACAACTACCCCCCGAGGACAATTACCTCCCCCCCCCGAGGACAACTACCCCCTGATAATAATTACCCCCCCCCCCCCCTCCCGATGACAATTACCCCCGAGGACAACTACCCCGTAGACAATCAGGATTCAATAACAAAAGACGATCTGACACATTGAGAGATGGCTTCGAGCCCATCAGATTCCCTGCATGAACCCATATTCTTTCAAATACTATAGCACGGTGTCTACCTCATTACTTCACATTTCCCTTTTATTATAATTTATGCAACGCCAGTACGGTTGCTGATT